ATAATGAGAAGACATCTGTTGCCCTACATTGAGAAAAAATTTCATGGAAAAGGTTATCTTTTTCAAGATGACAATGCTGCAGTGCATACTGCACGAGATTTAATGGCTTGGATTCAAGAAAATAAAATTAGAACATTAACGAATTGGCCTTTACAGTCACCTGACTTGAATCCAATAGAACATTTATGGGCAGAACTTGAAAGACGACTCAAAAAATCAGAAAGAAAGCCTAAAAATAAAAAGGAATTGTTTAATATTTTAAAAAAGGAATGGAGTGAAATAGATAAACAATATTATATTAATTTAATATCAAGTATGCCTAGGAGAATACAAGAATGTATTAATAGTAATGGTGGCTCTACAAAATATTAATAAAAAAATTTTTTTTTGGGGTGGTCCATGACTTTTGGGAGGTGAGTGTATAAGCATAAGAAACTAGAAAAATTCCAAGTAATGTTAATAAATGAAACTTCACCAAGTAGTAAGTAAACTTTAGACTAGTAGTAATTTGGAGTGAATAATGAAATAATAACGAAATAGTACTTTTCGCTATGGAATTAGTATTGTTTTTTGAAGAAATTTATTAAATTATTTTGTTTGAAACTTTACAAGAGTTATATAATCTACATATAAAAACTTTTGGTGCATTTTTTTATTATTATAATTGAGATTTTCGAGTCAATCAGAGGAAAAGGCGAAGAACCAAAAGAGTTTTTCGATTTTCAATATAGGCCAATTCTGAGAAATCTACTAAATATATTCCAGAAAGTATCAATGGGAATTGGATTTTCTTTTTTGATTAATATTAAAGCACGTTTATTTGATATCGAATTTGAAAAGATACCACAAAGCACTTTTTAAGTTACCGTTATTGATTACATTCATATGATATTAGCGTAACGAATAATGGGATTTATTGTATCACAAGTTTTTTGGCAAAGATAAAGAGAAAAAACCTATTTTTGAAATTTATTTATACGCTCAATATGTATATTTATACAATCATTCATTTGTTAATCATTGGCGAACCATTAGAAGATATTTTTTTGTATCTAAATTTGCTTTTTAGAATGAACTTTTAAACTAAGGGAAGTTCAATAAAACAATTATATCATCAAATTATACATATATTAAAACTCATAATCTTCCTTTGCCTATTTGTAATAGCTTTGAAAATTTATGATTCTTTATTTTGACATCAGAAAATATATTAATCAACACCAGATCAATGATCATTGCATAATCATGTTGAATAACAATGTTGATTTATACCTTTAACTTAATTTTATTAATATACAAATAAATGCGCGTTGAATAAATATTCTAAAGCATACATCATAATATGAATTAATTTGATAATATATTTCTTTTACAAATTAATTGTGGTACTTGTATTCGAGAGAACACGGTAATCCATCCTTTGTGAAAATGTTAATATCACACGACTTCGTGGAAGTAGTAGTAGCAAGTAGTATAGTAAAAAAATGAGATAAAATAATAATGTAATAAAATGAGGGACTTGAAATATTATTATAGAGAAATGATTACAGCAGTTCCAATACAACTTTTAAAATCATCTATTGCTTTAAATAATTTTTCTATTAATTTTTTAGGTGTTCTTCGTGGTAGTGATTTTTTTTTTGATTTCATAAAATTGTCAATTGAGATAATCACATCATTTCATCTTTATATCTAATACATGTAAATTATTTTATATAATGATAAAATTACTTGTGTGATATTAAATTTTTTGAAAACATTATTTCTTTTTTAATATAATCGCTTTAAGGCCTATACATAATAGTACGTCATATTCATTAATTTATTTTTTATTTTAATTGAATCGAACCTAGGCTATAAATAATTAATATGATTTGGAGTCTCAGAACTTTTGTAGTTCAAATATGGGGATTTTTTTTTTTAATCGTAAAATAAATTTAAATTTGCATATTGAATTCATTTAGTAGCAGAAAACTTTTTATTTGTTCACATAATTAATTTTAAAAGAATCTATAAAAAATGCGATTCATGAACATTATAACTTTTATTTTTTTCTAAAATACGTAATTTTTTTGAGCAATTTATTGTAAATAAAATAATGAATGGTATTTTCTTAAAAAATAAATATTCTTATGAAAGGTGTTCCTCGACTGCTGGGAGAAATACAATAGGCTTTGTGTCTTTTTTAAATTTTCTTTCCATAATAAATTTTACATGGATTAATAAAATTTTCATTTTAAATTTAAATAATTTATATTGCCCGGAGATGAGAGTCCATTTGTATTAAAATAAATTTAATAATTTGCAAAACTCCATCAAATGATATTGCTTTATTACCTACTTTCCCTGTTAAAGAATGCGTTCTTGGTTGTTTATCAAAATCATTAAAATGACTTCTGGCATTTTTCCATCTTTTTTTTTACCTATACAAACTCAAATTACGTGGGTACTAGCACATTTCTATCATATTAACTCACATTATTAGTAATTAATGTGCGGCCAGTAATTTTACATATAATTTATATAAATAATAAAATAACAAATTATAAAACAACTAAATCAAACTAAATTAATTGAAAGACTATTTAATTTTACCATCAAGTAATCATTTAAAGTTTCTAAATTCCCTCGATTACGAATTCAAGTTTTGATAAGATTTTGTTTGGATTCTTCATTATATTTTTCTTTATTTTCAGAGTTTACTTTGCGGATACCAAATTATCTATTATTGAATACTTTTTCAAAAGCTTTAATGTGAATTGATTGAATAAAAAGATATCTTATATTTAGAAAATTTCAAAAAGTTCACTCATGAAAAAAAAAAACGCGAGAAAAAAAATATAAATTTGATTCGAATCCATACACTAAGCCACAATTTCATGTGTGCAAACGCAAAAATTGAGGTTGAACGGTACACATCTCTAAACTATATATACTGTGTGCAAATAAATTATCATGCTCGGAGCGAGCGTTCCGTACATCGATTTTAGACACTGCCCATGAATCAGTGTTGGTCTTCAAAATTGCTTCGAAGAGGCGAAAGTCAAAACTAAAATTAAAAGTTATATGTCAAAACTAAATCAAACATTTGACTTTCGCACGGTTGTGAAACTCTCTAGTTTTGGAAACCAATAGTGCCAATGCAGACTGACAAATTCAACCTCTCAAAAAATAAATATTTGTCAATTTTCTCAAAATGGCAGAAAGAATATTTTTTAAACAAAGATGGCTCTGCAACTAGGAGGACAGAAGACTTTCAAAAACGTGCAATATCAACCTTCAAATGGACCTCATGATACAAAATTAACATTTTCACCCTCAAGAAATGATACTGATAACACGTATATTGTATATATATCAAATGAGGGTAATTTATTTATACTATGAGACTTGTTGTTTCTACCATGCTCATTTTTTTATGGGTCTATTTAGAATACAGCACGGGCTCTTGCTTAAATACCAACTCCTACTTAAGACACAGAAAGAATCAACGAGGGCGAAAATATGGTTACGCTATCGAAAGAAACACTTCTTAGACAATCAAGATTTGATTATTGACGATGGTCTCGAAACTAGAAACATTAGCCATATATCTTTCGGATACGATTTATATGATATGAATGAGTTTGTATTCATTCTGGTCATTAAATATACTTTTAATCACCAATATTAATGTTGCTTACTCATATTTTTTCCTTTATTGCCAAAGAACATAAGTGATCCAGATGTTCTTATCATCCTTTTGCAATTGATAGTTTATGCCTCGGAGGAATTATTTAACAATTGGATAAATTTATTGGAGACATGAAGTTATTTACATCATTTTTATGTGATAATAATAATAATGACAACGATGATACATTCACAGTAATAATAATGAAACTTGCAAAAGAATTTTATTTAATTTTAATTCTATTGTAAAATATAAAAGAAAAATCTGATTAAAAATACAATTAAATTATGACGAAAATACAGATAGTTAAAAGCAAGCGTCTTTGGAGAGTAGAATTTAATTTTAATAAATAATATATTCATTAAAAAAAAGAAAAAAATTGTTTATCGTCGCAAATTTATAAAAAATATATTTTGCCGGAAAAAAACTGATCGATTAAAAATATTTTATTTTAATTATAACGAAGAAACAAATAATTAATAAATTAATAGCCAATACTATTGTTGCCATTACTATTGTTGTTGCGGCAGCTGTTGCTGTTGCTGTTGTTATGAGGTTAACCATAATAAAAATTAATTGATCTTTAGTCAATTTATCATTTTGTGCATTCACATTCACATTACCACTGAAATTGATGTTGGAAATATTGTTAGAATTTAAGTTTTGATGAATAATGTTTGTTGTGATTGTAGCAATGTTGATAATTTCATGATTCATTCTTTATTTTTTTGTTTTTAACATGTGCCGAAAAAAATGGTTTGTTTTTATTCGATTGTTACGTATTTCCGTCTGATAGTGGTAAATAATTTTTATTTACTGTATTTAAATAGTTAAATTTAATTATTATTATGAATGTTCTTATAAATCTGGACATAATTGACCAATCCATTCAACACGTTTTAAAGTGAATTTGAAATTTAGTGTTACAGAAAATATGCCTGCAGTGCCACCACAACCTTTCTTATTTGGAAAATATTTAAAGCACCTCGCTTCTGTTTAACATATCACAAATAAAGAAAATAAAAACTTATTGAATGTCACTGCCAATACTATGATTCGAAAGTACTTTTTTAAAAAAAATAGAGAATTAAATTTAAATCCAAATAAGAAAAAAATCACGCCATAGGGGTTACTAACTAACCCATCTATCACTTTTTCCTAGGATTGGTTTTTCTTTGGCATAGTGGATGTAGCAACTCCTTTTCTATTTCCTTCTCTAAGCAATCATCAAAACTCAATTACCATTCTACTAAAGGAGAACCCGAGCTCTGCTTCAAACAGGTGTTTAAAATCCTTCCACACCTCTTCAACTTTTTGCATGCATTTTTATTCACCAACTGATTTTTTGATTCAAATTATAGAGCTGGTCATAAATTTTATAAGCCCGGCCAAAAAATTCAGTGGTAAAGTCAAGTATGATTGTGAAAATAAAAAATAATGGCCACACTGCAAATATCTTTAGGAATAAATGAGTCAATTGTGTTGTTTTTATAACAACTCCTAGATCTGTCTATCAGACAAATCATTTAAAGAAATTAAAACAAAGAAAGAAAGTAATGTTTATTTAAAACCAAGTTGCAATGCTTGTGAATTTTTGCTTTGAATGGTTTTATAAAAATAATGTTTTTCTTTATTAATATTTCATAATTGCATTTTTATACAGGAGCAGTCCTATATCTTAAAAGGACAATTAAATACTTTACACAAGAAATACCAAATCCAGAAATATATATTCTTATTTATTAGCTTTCAGTGATAAGTTTATATCTACTTCATCAACAATGATCATACCAACACCATCAATTGTAAAGTAAATCTTCATAAACCACAAACAATGATAACACAAAATATTATAATCTTTAGATTGCACAAACCAATAAAATGAGATTCAATTGTTTAAAGATAATATTGTATGTATTGTTGTGGGTCAAATCAAATTCATGTCAATTTGAAGTTTTGAGGTGGGGTGTTTGGATACAAAATTCTGATTGGCTAATTTGAATTTCACATGTGTGAATTTCAGATTTCATAACATTTAATATTAATATAAATAAAAAATTATATATTTATGATCCAAGAGAGAAATAGTCTATTTTATTAAGAATATACATCTAAAGAAAAAAAAAGACAAACACCAAAAAAGAAAACAATATTTCTCATTTAAAAAAAAACCACTGTTTAATTTAAATTACTAGAATGGATGAGGCTGAAGAAGATGATAATGTCACAGGACCTGTTTCTTTTCAATGATGTATTTATAATAAATTCCATCATTACCATGCTGTATATGAATGAATGGTCATTTGACCTTCAGAAGTAGTAAGGTCAACTCTAGGGATATTTGGCAAGAAGTGGTGTATTACTGATTAAATATAAAAGATACATTTGGGTAAATATCATTAGAGCAAGAGAAAGGTGAAATATTTGTCATCTCAACAATTAATGCCATAAAGAGTAGAAGATATTTCTTTTTGGTGATATCTCTGTAATTGGCACAGATCCTGAATAATTTTTAAGAGTGGAATTCAGAAACTTAATTATATATTAATTTCATTGGCTAAATAATCATGATGTGATGAATGTTTACCAAAAAAATCTTACCTTCACTTCAATAATATCTTCAAAAATGCTGTGATTGAGCTTGTAATAAAATCAATTTGATTCACTGGATGCAAAGAAATAGATATTGACAAAAATAATCTAAAGCTGATGATAGTGCAGCCAATTTAGAAATAGAAACATTGCAACTTTTTTCTGAAATCAATTCAAAACCATGACCAGGACCAGAATCAGAGTCAGAATCGGTTCCAGCATCAATTTAATTCAGTTTAATTCACATTTTCATCTTTTATTACAATCTGTCCTTAGTAATCAAACATCACCAATCAAATCGATAGCTGAGTTAATTGCTGCAAACTCACATTTGTCCAAGAGACCAATAGTATTTGCTGAAATGCATGTTTATCAATTGATTATTAAGGGCTAACTGATTTTAATACTTCAAATTATTTTTGGATAAGCTGTAAAATTGGAACTCTAAATCTGTTGTATCCCCAATCTTCAGTACTGAGTTTACAATATCCATCACACAGCAACATTTACAAAAGAAAATTTCCTTTTTTTTCGAGAAAAGAATCACAATTGGGATTAGAACAAGAAGCATATATGAGCATATATGGGACATACCACAACAAAACCAGACAAAGTGAACATTGATGTTATTAAGAATTTCAAAGATCAAAATTTGGTGCAGGACCAATAGATGGCAAAAATATCTAAATAAATAATTCATTTATTAACATACAAAATTATTAAGTTATTTCTATGAAAAATATGAAGTCATTCACAAATTGTTCTGTTAAATATTACTTTCATCAACAGGTTTTAGTTGTATTTTTTTATTTTTGGTTTAATGTTCTTTATTATTTGAAAAAAGGTTTTTGTTTGAATGGCATAAAATCAACTGGCATAAAAAAGTCAGATTTTTTAAATAAAAAAATTTTCATTATATATTCTTCTGCAGACTTTTATACTATTGTTACCAAAATTAGGATTTAACGCTGATTTGTTGGTCGAAATACCCTAATTCCGAATCAAGTCTTTTATTTCTATTTTTACTTTATTTTTCTTTATTTTTATATCTACATTTATTTATCCCTTATATTTTCATTTCTTTCATCTTTATTACATTCTTACTATTTTAGTTGTATTACATTTTTATTTTTATTCGTATAACGTTGAAATTAGCATCATGTTAGAATGTTACGTCACAATTAAAGTGCGACAATTGCAGTTAGAATAATAGATTGCAATGAAGTTGTTACTAATTAATTTAATTGTATATAAGAAGCTCAAATTCGATACCTGTAAAAGAACATTGTGAAAACTTTGTAATAAAGTTTTTATAATAAAAAATTAATTTAGAAATAAGTTAATAAATTAGTTTCGACTAAATAAAACATTTTTCTTAAATCACTAAACCAAAATTATTCACTAATAAAACTAATTCGTTAGTAATAGCCAATTCATTCTGATCCACATAATCATAAATTTATATTGTTATCATCAATTAACATACTCTCCCAACAATAATTGGTTACACTATAAAAGTTTTTATCTTATTTATCTATTCTTGTGTTGAGCAAAATGAGCAAGAAAGATAATGAACTCACTCTTGGAATCACATGTGATAAAGCTAAGAAGGAGTAATTACAAAAGAAATTAAATTTTGAGAAAATTATGAAGGTGGAATTTGTAAGGATATTTTTGAAACTTGGATTGATTCATATGGAGAAGGGAAAATTAAAAGCAAAAAGATCAAGAATCATTTGAAGACTCTTAAAATGTTACAGATAGTGCTTCAACAGCAGATTACATGTTTGGAGTAGTTGACAAAGGAAGTTGGGTAAATGCCATTTTTTTTTAAACTTCAGTGATGTAAAAAGGATAATAAAAGAACCTACAGAGAAATAAGTATCAGTGTAAATTTTTCTTCAGATGGTGAAAAGAAACTAATTAATAATTACCCAGAAGACCATTCCGGGAGCACAAAATTTTAACCCATGCAATTTGTTGATTGACCAATTAAAATCGTGAATTTGATAATGTAGAAATAAATATGGGTTTGATTCATTCACTTCACCAACAATTGTTTCGTTAACGAATTTAAGAAGTTGGAAACAAACATGTGACAACCATTGAAATAGTCAAATAAATTAAATTGTATTACTCAAAATGTATTTAAAGGGTTGGTTCTTGACTTGGTCGAAGAGTAACTCTCTTCCTAACTCTTCTCTTGACCATATGGGTTCCATGCTAACAAAAAGATAGTTCGGGAAAAAATGGGGTTTTTGAGAAATCAGCTGATTTTGTTTTTCACTAATCAAAACAACCCCTGATTTTTTTAATCTAGAAACAAAGTTATTACCCCTTTTTTGGTTTGTGACACACAATTTAATTAAAAATTTGCAAATAATTAATATTTCTAAATTAAATTTTCTTTTATTAATTCCAATTAAACATGTCAACTAATCAAGGAGCTTCTCAATATTTTTATGATTTATTTGAACTTGGTTTAGAGGAATATGAAAATTATGAAAATATTCAATTTATTGTACATAATTTAATAAAGTTTTTTGAAAGTCCAGAAAGTTGCAAATGTTCTGAAGAAGAAAAAGATATTAGAACTTGCTTTGAAAGAATTGGATTTAAAAAGTTTTTTGAAAGACATTTTCAAATTATTAATCTAAACAGCAAAGAATTAGATTTGTTTTTAAAAGCACAACTTTTAGCAATGGAAATAGAGAATAAAAATTATAAAAAATCTTCTGAAAAGATCCAACAAAGGATAAACTATAGATATTGTTTTAATTCAACCTATGCTCTTTGTAAAACAGCATTTTTAAAGCTATACAATATAAGTGATTC